CCCTCACATTAAATACTGTCTCTATGTAGCTGACTTCCAGGGTTTTCCTTCAGTTCAGACTACTGCCATGGACCCTGAGAACTCACAGATCCACCTGCTCATAAAACATAACGAATGCCTAACAGATAGTGGAAGCTTAACAGGTTAAAAATTGAGCTTGTGGGTTTTTTCCCCTCAAACCAATTCAATACCTGCTCTTTACTTTCATAAATTTATTTGGATTCAATCATGTTTCTTTCTATAACTCTTCTCACATTCCTCTACCCTCTCTCCATCTCTTGGTCCCCTACTCATTTGCACAAAGATCTATCTCCCTGTTTCCTATAATCCTTTATTTACATATGTATTTTTTGGCCTTTTGAGACAGAGTCTCACTATGTAGTTCACGCTGGCCTTAGACTCATTATGTAGGCCAGGTTGGCGTTGATCTCACAGGGGTCCTCCAGCCTGTTATTTTGTTTTTTAAATTATTTATACTTTGGGTTTCTCATAAAAGAGAAGTTATGCCACATTTAAACTTGTGTGTTTAATTTTATGTCTCTTTAACATTATGGTCTCAAAGTATATCCATTTTCCTAATTTCCATATGGCTGAAATTTATCCATTTTTTTTGTTAGTTTGTTTTTTGAGACAGGGTCCCACTATGTAGTTGAGACTGACCTGGAACTCACTCTGCAGCCCAGGCTGGTCTCGAACTCACAGTGATCCTCCTGCCTCAGCCTCCCAAGTGCTGGGATTACAGGTATGCGCCACCACGCCTGACAAATTTATCTTTCTTTATAAGTTCAAGGCCAGCCTTGGCTAAATAGCGAATTCAAGGCCAGCCTAAACTACACAGTGAGGTCCTGTCTCAAAAAGTCAAAATAAAACAAACACCCTAAAACAGACCACAACAGATGCTTGCACACCAGTGTCTACAGCAAAGCATTGATAAAGCCAAAAGGAGGGGAAAAAACTCAAGTATTCACTGAATGAACAAGATAAATAAAAAGTGGTATATACAAACATCATTTTCAGTCATAAAAAGAAATGAAACTCCAATGCATGTTACAATACACTAAGTGAGAGAAGCCAGATGGAGACAAATACTATATAATTTATGAAATATCTAGAAAAGTCAGTTTCATAGACAGAAAGTTAGAGATTACAAAGGGGCTAGGAGTTATATTGTCTAATGGGTACAAAATTTCTGCTTGGGACAATAATGATTTTTGGGAAAAGCGGTGATTATTCATTAACATTGTTAATGTATTTGATACCAAAGAATTATACACTTAAAAAAGCAAGGCAAGGCTGGGGATTTAGCTCAGTGGTGCTGCTGCCTGCCTTGCAAGCGTAAGGTCTCAAGTTCGATCCCTGGTACCAAAAAAAAAAAAAAAAAAAAAACACCTGTGATCCCAGCTGAGGAAAGCTGAGGGAGAAGGAGCAAAAGTTCAAGCCCACCTGGGTAATTTAGTAACCCATCTCAAAAAATAAATTCTGGGCAAAGGCCCTGGGTTCAACCCTCAGTACTGAAAAAAAAGTGCAAGTGAAATGGTAAATTGGGCCAGGGATACAAGTCAGTGGAACCATGTTTGCCTGGCGAGTGTAAGATTTGATTCCCAGTACCAAAAATGGTAAATTTAAGGTTACACATGTTTATATTTACATATAACCATGATTTTAAAAATAGCAGCCAGGGATTTAGCTCAGTCACGCTACCACCTGCCTCACAAGCACAAGGTCCCCATACCAAAAACAAAACAAAACAAAACACCAAAAACAAATAAAGCTTAAAATAGTAACTAACAACAAAATGTACAAGACAAAATTTGTGTACAAGATAAAATTTAAAATAAATAGAGGGACGGGGCCGGGGATTTAGCTCAGTGGTTCTGCCACCCGCCTTGCAAATGCAAGGTCCAGAGTTCGATCCCTGGTATCAAAATAAATACATAAATTGAGGGGATAAACTGAGATTCAAGACTAAGTTACTCTAAGCCAGGTTTGGGCTGGGGATTTAGCTCAGTGGCTCCACTGCCTGCTTCACTATAAGCCAGGTTAGAAAATCTGCACACCATATTTAGCATCGTTCTATGAAAAATACATTCATAACAATATTGCAAAAACAACTTCTTCCAAGTAGATTACAGAAATTTACCAAGTTTGATCCCTGGTATCAAAAAACAAAGTTTATATTTTTGGCAACGACTTCTGAAGATCTGATCCTTTATGAACTTGGATGGCTGCCTGTCACCTAATTTTTCCTTTTTTTTTTTGGTAACCAAAGTCGAACTCAAGGCCTTGCGCTTGCTAGGCAGGAGGCACTGTACCGCTGAGCTACATCCCTGGCCCAATTAAGTTGTGTGTGTGTGTGTGTGTGTGTGTGTGTGTGTGTGTGTGTGTGTGTTTTCCCTTGGTACTGGGGATCAAATTCCAGACCTTGCACTTTCCAGGCAGGCACAGCACCAGTGAACTACATCCCTGGTACATCCCTGGCCCAATTAAGTTGTGTGTGTGTGTGTGTGTGTGTGTGTGTGTGTGTGTGTGTGTGTGTTTTCCCTTGGTACTGGGGATCAAATTCCAGACCTTGCACTTTCCAGGCAGGCACAGCACCAGTGAACTACATCCCTGGCCCATATCACCTAAGCAAGACTGTCATCACGTGGGGAGTAAAGGAACTGCATGTTTTGCCAATACAAAGAGTACAATGACGACTTCTTTTTAAGAGCTTCCAGACTCTGATGTGAAAAACTACAATAGTACACAAGATCCTAATGAGGTAATTAACAATGTGAAACAGGAAGAAAAGGGATAAAGGTGTAGGGAAAGTGGGAAGGGTAGGGGAAAGGGAATAAGGGAAAAGAAAAAAATATGAGAAAATGAAAAAATGGAAATAAAGTGTTTGTAAATGGGGAGGGGAGGAGGGGTGAAGGGAGGGCAGGGACAAGGGGAAAAATGAGAACCAAGACCTGTCATGTAGAGGTACAAGATCTTAACAATGAGTGTAACTGTACTGTATACCTAAAATGTACCAATAAACTCAATAAAAAGAAAAAAAAGAGCTTCCAGAAATTAGCAAAAGAAAATGAACATTTTTCAAACTATAGAATAAGTAAGCAATCTAGATAATCCAGAATATATGACCTACCAGAAATAGCTCATTTATCTTCCACTTCAATAGAAAACAAAGCACAATAATTTAAAATGTTTAAAAGCTAATTTTTAGGGCTGGGGATTTAGTTCAGTGGGGCCGCTGCCTGCTTCACAAGTGCAAGGTCCTGAGTTCTATCGCCAGCACCAAAATAAATAAATAAATGAAAATAGAAGTTAAATTTTAGGGCTGGGGAGTTAGCTCAGTGATTCTGCCATCTGCCTTGCAAGCGCAAAGTCCCAAAAATAAACAAAAAGCTAAATTTTAACTATTTATATTAAAACTTAAATATGTGTTTTGGAAACTTAAATATCATATAAGCAATGCTGATCTCATGTTCCCAAAGTACACTATTTCAGAGAAAAAAACATAAATTTTAATAGTTCAACAGCCATCATTAGCCATTACATATTATTAAAATGGTATATAAATCTGTGCCCATGCCAAGAGTGGTAGTGCATGCCCGTAAATGAAGCACTTGGAGGCTGAGGCAGGATTGATGGGTGTCCAAAGCCAGTCTGGGCCACATACTGAGCACAAGGCCAGCCTGGACTACACAGCAAGACTTTGTCTCAAAAGAGCATCCAAAAAAAGAGAAAGTAATTTGTGCTCATGCTTACGGCCTCTTAATAAAAATCAATATACTTGCGGGCTGGGGACTTAGCTCAGTGGTTTCTCAACCTTGCAAATGCAAGGTCCCGAGTTCAATTCCCGGTACAGAAAAAAAAATCAATATCCCTGGCCAGGGATTTAACTCAGTGGTTCCACTGCCTGCTTCACAAGTACAAGGTCCCAAGTTCCATACATGCTACCAAAAAAAAAAAAAAATTCAATATACCTATTAAAAAGTTACCAAATTATTATGAATATTTTATAATTTCTAGTACCATAAAGCCAGGCACAGTGGCACATGTCTGTAATCCCAGCACTCTGGGGACTAAGGCAGCAGGATCTCAGGTTTGAGCCCAGTCTGGGTAACTCAGAACTTAGTGAGACCTTCTCCCAAAATAATACTTATTACATTAATCCTGAATAAAATCTTCCTTCGTGTAAAAGAAAAATAAGTTTGCTTTTAATATGAAAAAACAGGAGTATGGGAGTGTGGCTCAGTGGTGCAGTGTTTACATAGTGCACAAAGAAGAAAGGAAGAAATCAATATCGTAGGCAACTCCACAGGGTTCTGGCTGTGACTCTCCCGCTTGGCCAGCCACCTAACTGTACCATCTCTTCCTCTCTGCATCGTTGGAGTTCCTCATTTAGCAACTAAGAGAAATAGTTATCAAAGTTCCCACCGGCTGTACAGGAAATCCCATGGCTCTACTTTTCCAAACTATTATTACAATAAGGAGAAACTGCATCCTAAAATCAAATACAAATATGACAAGAAAAAAAAGACACTACACTATAGAATAAATTTATCCTATTGCCTCTAAACTCTGGTTGCAAGATCCTTAATGTTTATAACTGGCTAAAGGATGCAAAATATGATCATGTCAACTCGTTTAGATCTATTTTAAATTCTGGTCAAAATAACAAGGGCTGAAAACTGAATATTGTCTTAAAACTTCTTCCTTCAAGAAAAAATCATAAATTAGATTATTTAATGAAATTTCAATATTTAGAAACAAGTGTTGGCCCGGGGATATAGCTCAGTGGTGTCCCATATAGCTGGCAAGCAAAAGGTCCTGAGTTCAATTCCCAGTACCAAAAAAAAAAAAAAAACTCTTTCAAAGATGATATTATGATCACATTTGATTTATTAATTATTTCATTATTCAATCACTATGCCAAACACCTATTATGTGTCAGGTACTACATTTTAGCTTCTTTCTAGTGTCTCAAAAGCCTAAGAATATGAAAACCTTACCAACGTGGCCTCCTCCAATGGTGTATGTCTTCCCAGATCCGGTTTGTCCATAGGCAAAAACAGTTGCATTATAGCCCTCAATGAGTGACAGTACCAGGGGCTTTATACACATATTATAAACTTCATCTTGAGTAGAACTTTTGCCAAAAACAAAATCAAAAGTAAAGACTCTATCTCTTCCAATGATAATTTGCTGGGTGTTTGGAATAACTCTCACACAGACTTGATGATTATGAAGAACTTCTTTGCAAAGCAGAGGTCTAACTCTTACAGCAACTTTTACTGCTATTTCCTCCATGGCAGCTTAGATTTTACTAAACAGATGATCTACTTGATGTTCAGGATCAAGTGTGGGAAACATCCACTTTACATAAGAGCTGGAAACCTGCATGTCAAAATAAAAGACCAATTTTAATCACCGACTCCACTTATCCTAATAAAACTACACAACATCCATCACACCAGATTCTTTTCCAGGATAATATAGTTTCAAAAAGTAGATATGTCTTATAAAGTATATCATTAGTTTAGCGATGAAATCATATAATGTCTGGATTTGCTTTAAAATAATCAAGGGACTGAGGCCTTGAGTTGGTAAACTGTGAAGCTAAGTGATAAGTACAGGAAATTCCATTATGCTTAAAGTTTTATAGTTTCACAATTTATTAATCTAAATATTGATAAATTGAGGAATTAGGAAATTCACACAAGGAAATAACTGAGGAACTACATGTGTTAAAACAAACACTTCTACTAGATTTTATAGATACTTGTTTAAAAAAATAGCATCTTCTCGTTGCCGCAGATATTGGAAATACCTCACCAAAAACAGTTTAAGAAATTTCTACAGTAAGCTGGGCGTGGTGGCGCATGCCTGTAATCCCAGCACTTGGGAGGCTGAGGCAGGAGGATCACTGTGAGTTCAATACTAGCCTGGGCTACTTAGTGAGTGCCAGGTCAGTTTCAACTACATAGTGAGACCCTGTCTCAAAAAAACCAAAAAAAAAAAAAAAAAAAAAAAGAAATTTCTACAGTCAATGTCAATTTACAATTAAATTTTACATTATAAATAATCAAAACTAAAAGAAACACTGCTTGTTCCACTCCTAAATACTGTGTTGCACTGCTTTCTTAAAATTTCTCAAGTTAATACATTAAAATTTAAAGTGGCAACTACACTTACCATGAACACCCTGAAAATTTTATGAAGAAAACAATTCTTAAAATAGCATCAACAAGAATACATAAAATGGGGAGGGGAGGAGGGGGTGAAGGGAGGGCAGGGACAAGGGGGAAAAAATGAGAATCAAGACCTATTATGTAAAGGTACAGGATCCCAATAATGAATGTAACTGTATTGTATACCTAGATTGTACCAATAAACTCAATAAGAAAAAAATAAAAAAGAATACATAGGAATACATTTAACAAGAGATACATAAAAACTCATCTTCTAGAAACTATGCAATGTCATTAAAAAAGTAAAAGATCTAAATAAATAAAATAATCCTAAATTCATGGATTACAGTGCTTAATGTGGTTAAGATATCAATATTCCCCAAACTGAACTACAGAGTCAATGCAAACTCCTATCAAAATGTCAGCTGACTTCTTTGAAGCAACAACAAGCTCATTTGAAAGACCCTAAAGTAAGTCAAGCCGAGCACAGTGGCACACACCTGTAATCCCAGAACTCAGGAGGCTGAGGCAAGAGGATCGCTGGGAGTTAGAGAACAGCCTAGGATACATAGTGAGTTCCAGGGCAGTCTGAACTACATAGTGAGACCCTGTCTCAAAAAAAGAGAAAGAAAGAAAGAAATTCGAGTGACACAGACTAGCCAAAACAATACTGTTAAATAACAAAGTAGGACTTGCAATTCCCTAATTTTAAAAACAATCAAGAGTAGAGGCTGGGGACCGAGGATTTAGCTCAGTGGATTGCCACCTGCCTCGCAAGCGCAAGGTCCCAAATTCAATACCTGGTACCAAAAAAAAAAAAAAGAGTAGGGGCCAGGGATATATAGCTCAGTGGTACAGCACCTGCCTGACAAGCTCAAGGAGTTCAACTGCTGGTACCAAAAACAAATAAACAAGACAGTGTGGGACTAGTACAAGGACAGCATGTAATCGAATGGAATAGTAATGAAAATCCAGCTGGCCGTGGTAGCACACACTGTAATCCCAGCACACTGGGAAGCTGAGACACAGGGACTGCCTGGCAAGCGCGAGGTCCTGAGTTCAATCCTGGTACCAAAAGAAAGAAAGAAAAAATAACAAAGAATAAAAAAATTTTCGCCAGGCGTAGTGGCGCATGCCTGTAATCCCAGCACTTGGGAGGCTGAGGCAGGAGGATTGCTGTGAGTTCGAGACCAGCCTGGGCTACACAGTGAGTTCCAGGTCAGTCTCAGCTACATAGTGAGACCCTGTCTCAAAAAAACCAAGAAAGGGCCGGGGATTTAGCTCAGCGGTTCAGTGGCCTGCCTTGCAAGTGCAAGGACCCGAGTTCAATCCCCGGTACCAAACAAAAACACAAAAAAACAAACAAAAAAAATGTACTACCACACAAGACACATTCTCACTAATCCCCCTCAAAATACTCCCCTCACTCTGAACACACTGTATCTCATCATCCTTGCCACTCTTTGAAGCAGGTCTGGAAATCCACTCTGGTATCTTTAGGTACATTTCATGGCCATCTCGATGTGCTGAGTCAATTTAAAACCACCTTTCACAGTAGACGTGATTTGAGTCTAGAAGCCTCCCAAAGCTTCATGCAGTCATAGAGCTTTTCGCAGGTGGCTGAATCTAGAGTGTGCAATGCCAGGATTAGGGGCTGGTGACTTCTTCACCAGTACACTGCTTGCTTTGGCACTGTTCTAATCCCAGTAGTCTGGGTAAGATAAAAGGGGCAGAAAGGCACTGTCAAGGTTCCTTTGCTCCCATTGTTGCCATGAACTATCTGTCCCCTGAGATATTCCTCTGCCACGTGCCACTCTGCCTTGGAGCCAGCAAGTATAGATGGAAACCTCTACAAACTGTGAGCTAAATAAACCCTTTCCCTTTTAATTTTCAATGTCAGGTATTTTGTCTCAGCAATGAGAAAAAAGTATCTAAGTCAATGGTAATTCTAATGTGGGACAAGAGCCAGAAGTTGCAAGGTGCCAGATCTGGTGAATAAAGTGACGAGGACCCACTGCGATGTTTTTGTGAGCCTGCCTTTCCATTGGCTGGCATTCAGCAGCCGCATTCACAGTATTTTTTATCACATCCCACAGAGACTCCCCAAAAAAAGCACATTCAGAACTGACTCAAAGTGGGGGGTCAGGGGTTTGGCTCAGTGATTCCACCACCTACCTTGCAAGTGCAAGGGCTTGAGTTCAATCCCCGTACCAAAAAAAAAAAAAAGTCGCAAAAACAATGGGATAAGTGTTTTTGAAGCAAGGGGAAGTATTTTGAAGGAGATTATTGGTAAAATGTCATTTATGAAACAGTTTTAACTTAAACATTCACTATATATTTTGGTCATCCCTTGCACAAAAGTGAGATGGGACCTCTACTTCACATGATGTACTAAAGGTCACCCAAGGGCCAGGGATTTAGCTCAGCGGTTCCACCACTGGGATTGCAAGTACAAGGACGCAAGTTTGATCCCAGTACCCCCCCCAAAAAAAGGAGGTCACCCAAAACTGAGCATATCATCATGTTGACCAAAATAAGCCAGACTCAGAAAGTCAAATATCGCATGTCATTACTCATATATGGACTGTTTAAAAAAAATTAAAGTAATAAAAAGAGTGATTACAGGAAAGTAAAAGGGAGACTATTAGAGAAGGGGGGGAGGGAAAAGGAAGAAATAATAGGGCGAATGAAAATAAAGTGTATTACATGAATGAACAAATGTGCCCAAAAGAAACTCAATATTCAGTATAACTGATGCACATCAATAAAAAGAAGAGAAAAAAAGAAAACAGATCATAGACCTAAATATAAGAGATAAAACTATAAAACTCTTAAAACACAGGACCCTTAAGATTCTATGAGCTTAGGCCCAGGATTTAGCTCAGTGGTGCCTTTGCCTGCCTTGCAAGCACAAGGGCTCGAGTTCAATCTCCAGTACCAAAAAAAAAAGACTTTATAACCTTGTATTTGGCAATGGTTTTTTGGATATGACACCAAAACTAAAAGCAAGACAGGAATAAAGTAAGACAAACTACACTTCAACAGTATTTGCTTAAAACTTTGTTCCCCAAACAACATCCTCAAGAAAGAGAAAGTCAACTCAGTGAATGGAAGAAAATATTTGCCAGCCTTGTACCTAATAAGGGACTTGTATCAGAATATATAAAAAACTATTACAAGTCAATAATTTTTTTTTTTTTGGTACTGGGGATTGAACTCGGGTCCTTGCACTTGCAAGGCAGGCCACCAAACCGCTGAGCTAAACAAGTCAATAATTTTTAAAAAGCAATTTAGAGCCAGGCATGTCATGCACACTTGTACCCTAGCACTTGAGAAGCTGAAGCAGAAGGATCAGCACAAGTTCAAGACCTGGGCCAAATAGTGAGTTCAAAGCTATCCTGAACAACATAAAGAGACCCTGTCTCAAAAAACTAAAAATAAATAGAGAAAAAGCAATTTAAAATGGGCAAAAGGTATGAAAACATAGTCCTTCAGAGGAGATACAGAAATAGCCAAGCCAGGCATAGTGGCGCACGCCTGTAATCCCAGCACTCAGGAGGCTGAGGCAGAAGGATCGCTGTGAGTTCGAGGCCATCCTGAGCTACATAGTGTGTTCCAGGACAGTCTCAACTACACAGTGAGACCCTGTCTCAAAAAAAAAGCTTAGCAACAGAAATGGCCAATAAGCACAAAGTTGCTCAACACATCATCAGCTATCAAAGACTGCAATCAAAACCAAAATGATGGGAGACCTCAATATCTTGCTATCACATATAAATCAACCAAACAAAATATCAGCAAAGAAGTATCAGAGTTAAACCAAACCTTTGAGCCGGGCGTGGTGGCGCATGCCTGTAATCCCAGCACTTGGGAGGCTGAGGCAGGAGGATCACTGCGAGTTTGAGACAAGCCTGGGCTACATAGTGAGTTCCAGGTCAGTCTCAACTACATAATGAGACCCTGTCTCAAAAAAACAAAAACAAAAAAATAAAATAAAAACCAAACCTTTGAACAAATGGACTTATGTATCTACAGGGTGTTCTCTTAGCTCTAATACACATTCTTCTTGGCAGCACAATAGACCACATATTAGCAAGTAAAGCATGCTTAAGTAAATCCAAAAGAACTGAAATTTTACCACACATATTATCAGATCACAGTACAATAAAACTACAAATCAATGACAAAAGAAACCAATGAAATTAT